TGAGGAATGGATAAAAAAGGTGTGGTATTTTTACACAATGGAGTACTACTCAGCTATAAAGAATGATCACACTGAGGTATTTATAAATAAGTGGGCGCAGCTTGAGACCATACTGATAAGCAAAATAAATCAAACTCACATGTATAAATACTGAATTGTTTACCTAGTATAAGAAATGGCAAGAATACATAAAAGTATGAGGTAATCATGATTCCCCATTATATGGCTTTGAAGCCTTATAATGTTTTCATTCATTAATTGGAATGGTTTTATTCTGGGGTGTTTGATTTTATTGTCTATGATGGTATGAACAGTTATTTTGAAGACAAGACATTATAATAGCTAGTGCTGATTTAATATCCGCTTGTTTTGAGGTCCTACCAAGCTTATGTTCTTCTGTCTCCATTGGTTTTATAATGTATCTTATTGGATTTTATTATATGTGATAGTATAAACAAAATTTTTTATAGAGGAGATAATATAGAAACCATTGTTCATTTTCTGTTAGTTGGTTTTATATACCCTGTAATACTTTCATCCTCTGGAATGGTTTTACACTGTCTTGTTATGTTTGATGCTATAGTATTTGAAGGTATACTCAAATATTTCAAAGAAAGAGACACTATGATAGCTACTGTTATGTTGGGTTATCTTGTGTGAAACACTGTGTTGCTTAAATTGTTCTGTTCTGACCTGTGTTGTTATGTCCTCTTTTATCTTAATCTCCTTTAGTTTTTTTAATAAAAAAATAAAATTCTGATATGTGGCCTTATGAAATTGCCCGGGATGGGCTTGAACTTGTGATCTTGCTCTTTTAGGTACCCAAGGTTCTGGAATTTCATGTGCATGCTACCTCCCTCACCTGGCTTCCTTTTACCAAGTAAAAAAGAAACTACTACTAATTAGGACTTCTGAGCCTCATAACTATTTTTTCTATTGCTTGTACAATCTTTTTTTTCTTTTTTTGTCTTTTTCTTTTTTATTAGTACCAGGGATCGAACTCACGACTGTCTGCTTGCAAGGCAGGCGCTTATGCCGCTGAGCTAAATCCCCAGCTCCTGCTTGTACAATCTTAACTCCTTTACATAACATTTTTCTCTACTCATTAATTCAACCTTTTTAAAAAGTGCGTTTTAAGTTATTTTCTTAAAATGTGACTGCAGAATGCAGAATGTGTTCTACTTCTTTTATTTATTTCGTTTACTTTATTTGCTATCACTGTGATCATTCATACATTTGACCTTATTTTGTGCTTTTTCTTCTACATTTAATAATATGTATTTTTTATTTAGGACTTTTATGGCTTCTTCTTGCCATCTGTGGGATTTAATAAATTTTTTTTTTTTTTACAAATTCTCTTCCCTTGTATATTTTGACCATTTTCTATAATTTCTGTTCTCAGCTTTTTCTCTTCAGTCTGAATAGATCACAGCTGCTGGAAGGTTGTGCTGCCTCTGTGTGAGACTGTGTCAGTTACTTTTTACTCGTTATGGCTATTGTTTGGGGCTTTTAGCCAGCTTTACATTGCAAATCAAGAGCAAAGAGCCCAGCAGAATAATTTACAATGCTGTGAGTTTGGCCAGAAGAAAAATTCCAGATAAAGATCGAGAGCTCAGGACAATGCCTCCCACGAGTCCAACTGGAGGTCTAGAGTCCACAAGAAGGACTTATGCCAGTTTCTTTTATGGATCTGTGCTGGGAAGACCCAAAGGTCAGCAGTGGAAGCCAGAAAGTCTGTGCCAGCAGGATGAAGGAGCTGTGCTAGTGGGATGAGGGTTCTAAGCTGGAGCCGAGAAGTCACACTCACAACAAAGACCAGGGCTATCCTGAAAGGCACCACAGCTGTCCTCAGCGACACAGAGGCTCCGAGCTGCTCCTCCAACAAGCACAGTCGGGTACGTGCCAGGAAGGAGCGTGACAAGTTCATCCTGGAGACCAAGCAGCACATGTCTTCCCCTCCAGAGCCAGGAAGCAATGCTCGATGTGAAGACCAAAGCTTCTCCAGGAGAACCGACAGCTCAGACAGCAACTTGCAGGAGAACCCACAATGCCTCCTTCATGCCTCAACCCTCTACTCCTCCTCCTTCTCCACCTATTTAACTTTCCTCAGGTGGAGCATCTTCGCTCAATGCCATGCTGATGTAATCCAGCTGGCGTGAAGTTGACCACCAGTGCTTAATCCATAACAATCCACCCCTGGTCACCTTAATAACCACATGCCTTTCCTTTGATTATAGTCCTTAGTGGCAGATTTGTTACATTAATACAACAATTACATATATACAATTCTTTTTGCACTTAATTCCTGCATCAAAACCAAAACATTTAAAAGGTGACCAAGGTTCAACATTAAAACACAGTACTTTGACAAGTTAACCTGGTTACAAACATATAAAACATTAAAATCACACTAAAAGAACAATTACAATCACAGTCCTTGCTTCCCATTAACTTTAACATGGCATGGCAAGACTAAAATATAAGGATCCTGCAATTCAAATGTACTCTTGATTTTTCCATCATCCTATTCTTCTAAACAATCATATTCTCTGTTTTATCTTTACAACCCACATTTCCAATGGAGCCTTCTTCTTGGCCAAGTGTTTTAAATTACTCTACTGGCTCTTTGCTCTAAATTTTCAAAATACATCTGGTCAAAAGTTCTCTAAAGTAACTATGCTACCATCCCAAAAGTAGACGGCACTGAAATTTTTCTGCCACCAAGGTAATATCTCTAAATACAAACAAGAAGATCAACTTTTATCTAAAGCACACTATACTACCTGGGCTCCAGCAGCCACTGCAGTCTTTCACAACAGAAGCATCCCAAGCTTCGTCTTAACTGGCAGCATTTCCATCAGCACTCTGATTTTCCAGGTTCCGACCAGCATCTCCAAAATAATACAACACACAGTGGCTGTCTCTTTGGTGAGTCTCTCAAATATTTTCAAATTAATTTCTAAGGCTCTCAAGTCACATGGCCAGGCAACATAACACAATGACCCCACTCCTGGTACCAATTTCTGTTGTAGTTAGGGGTTGTATACATAGAACAATTAGGATTAGAACATGGAGCTTATAATATTTTTATAATGGTCACTGGGAGTTAACACAGGAAAATGCAGGAAATCTATCCGCAACACCAAAGACATAGATTATTTAGTCAAAAGCCTAAACCCCACAGCAATGTCCCACATGAGTCCAGGTAAAGCTCCAGAGCTCAGGACAATGCCTCCCACGAGTCCGACTGGAGGTACAGAGCTCACAAGAAGGACTCACGCCAGTCTCTTTTATGGATCTGTACCGGGAAGACCCAAAGGTCAGCAGTGGAAGCCAGAAAGTCTGTGCAGGAGGAAGGAGCTGTGCTAGTGGGATGAGGGTTCTAAGCTGGAGCTGAGAGGTCACACTCACAACAAAGACCAGAGCTATCCTGAAAGGCACCACAGCTGTCCTCAGTGACATGGAGGCCCTGAGCTCCTCCAACGATAAGCACAGTTGGGTACGTGCCAGGAAGCAGCGTGACAAGTTCATCCTGGAGACCAAGCAGCACATGTCTTCCCCTCCGGAGCCAGGAAGCAATGCTGAATGTGAGGACCAAAGCTTCTCCAGGAGAACCAACAGCTCAGACAGCAACTCATAGGAGAACCCATAATGCCTCCTTAATGCCTCAACCCTCTACGCCTCTTTCTTCTCCACCTATTTAACTTTCCTCAGGTGGAGCATCTTCACTCAATGCCATGCTGATGTAATCCAGCTGGCGTTAAACTGACCAGTTCTTAATCCATAACAGAGACTTCATTTGGGTCTCTATGTTCACACTGTGCATCTTTTACAGTGCAACTTTTGAGGTGATCTCTCAGTGTTGACTGAGTGTCTACTATGTTATCTTTATGTTACCTTCTGAGTTTCTACGCTGCCTTTACCTGGGCCCAGTTCCTAGAAGATTGAGTGCTGTGAACCTAGGAGCAGTGAGCAGACCACTGTGTGTGTTTTTGAGTGTATATAAATAGTTTATAAGTTTGTTAAAAGGGTGAGGGGCAAACAGTGCTTAGTGCTTCTGGCAGAGTCCAGCCTCAGTCTGTGCTAGCTTGTAATTACTGAACTTACAGAAACTTTTACGTCTTGTTCATAATCACTGCTAAGTGTATTTTAAGTATAAATGCTTAGGGTTATCATTCATTAAATCTTTCATGATATTTTAGATTATTGTGACAGAGAAGGAATGGGCAAATCATTATGAATCATAGTGTATTAACAGTGTTGGAGCTGAATGGTTAAATAGGTGTATTTCATTCTAGTGCCTCTGAGTATGATACTATAAATGCCAGAAACCCGAGGAAGGCTTGAGTTCAGAGGTGGCCAAAGCCATGCCAGCTGACTGATGTCTTGAGGCAGTCTGGTTTCTGCAAGTCATTGTCACAGGCACTTGCTCATGCATTTTAGAGTTTGATTAAGGAGAGAAAAATAACTGGCTTTAAATGCCTCATCAAGGATACCTTTCTGACAATTTGCTGGAAATAGCTTTACGCACACACATGTACACACACACACACACACATGTCTATAGAGACAATATACTTAAAATAAATTTTGATGTATTAATATCTTGGTGTTTTCATCTTTTAACTTTGAAAAATTCTGTCACTCTCTGGCCATGTATTATATACATTAACAAATCTTCAGTCAGCTACAGTCTTGTGTTGTAACAATGGCACACACTGAGAATTGGGCTGGTGGGCCCTTTGTGTTGTACAAATGAAGCAGAGATGTCAGCTGAAACATCACTAGATGACATATGCTTAGGAGGCCGCTGTCCTGTGTGCCCTCTGTCAGGTGACTGAGCAGTGCTTAGGCAATGTGTGGATATATGTGGAAACTGTAGAGTCCAACTCTCACATTGTTATAAATAAGATGTATTTAAATCCAGACGTTATCACCAGAATAATGGCTTTACATTCAGCCTTTGAAAACACATCTTGATTTTCCTCTTGTGCTTACAGGGATCATCATTTACGACCCAGTTATCTCAGGCCTACAATCTCTTCCTGACCACAGCCATTGGCGATGGGGTCGGCCTGTGGGACCTGAGGACTCTGAGGTGAGCCTGGGCTGTGTCACAGTCCTGTGGCTGAGGGGGGCTGGAGCTCGGAACACAACCTTCTGTCTTTGCCAGCTCAGATTCAAGGTCACGATATGAGGATACATGTGATGTGAGCTCTCTTATGTGTGGATTCCAAGGCCTAGAGGAGGAGGAGAGGCCCCGTGGCTTGACCAGTAACAACCTGAGTGTGGTTTCCTGGCTTAATCCAGGCCTATGTCCAATTGTCTGGCCAGTTGGGGGGGGGGCGCGATGTTTGACATCTTTGGTAGTTTGAATTTGGAAAGGATCTGAATTCTTCTTAAGCTCCCTTTAAGTGCTTACTAAGGAGCAATTCTCACATATACAGTGTTTTCAGCTCACTGAGAGTATGCTTACCTAACATGCATGACGCCCTGTGTTTCTCTTTGGTGCCACAGGGAAAAAGCTTTTCCTTAATTAGCTTGTTTCTTTTTGTGAGGGAAAGCAAATTGGTCTCTCTGCTGCAGATTGTACTTAAGTGAAGAACTGAGTCCTGTTCAGGTGTTTCTCTCTGTCCGGTAGGTGTGAGCGCCGGTTCCAGGGACACCCAAACCACTGCTATCCGTGTGGAATGGCCCTCAGTCCTTGTGGCCGGTTCATGGCTTGTGGAGCTGAGGACAGACATGTAAGTGTGCTGTATTCTTCCAGTGCAGGAATTCAAGATGATACTGTTATGTAGGCTCTTAGGTGTTGTGACATAAAAGGAAACTAATTTATTTTAAACTTGACTGTTGGCCACTATTTTGAGACCCTTCCACAATTGTAGCAGTACAGTGACAGTACTGCGTGAAGGGTGAAAGGCTCTCATATTTTTAAATGATGCCTAATTAACACTAGGCATTTACTAATTCACCCATCTATCAGTCATTTCATAAGCACTGAGCACATATTTTGTGCAAGGCCTTACATGATATTTTTTTTTGAATTGTGAGATTAAAGTATGAATCAATAAGGCAAGATCATGCTGTATAACTGCAGTGTCCCTTTTCCAAGTCAGATCCGTTATTCCGGTGAAATTGCCCACTGTCCCCTCCAACACTTTTAGACATCATGCATGTGCATCTTGTGATGGATGACTCAGGACGGATGTTAACAGACACTCACTTATCCTTGACCCAGGCAAGTTCTTGTTAGACTGTCTAGGGCTGTGGTACCACATTCCCCAGAGTTAGCTGCTTCAAACCACAGGGGATGTTTTCTTGCATTTCTAGGGGCTAGGAGTTTGGACTTGGGGTCAGCAGATCGACTCTTGTTGGGGTCCTGAGGGAGAAGCCTCTTTGGTTACCAATCATTGGCTGCAAAATGTACCACACCAGCCCCTGCCTCTGACTCTGCACCTGGTTTTGTTTCCATTTTGTATCTCATGTCTCCTGCTTTTTTCTCATATAAGGACTCCTGGATTTGTCCCCTCCTGAAACTCATGTTGAAATTTGTGATAACTTTTTTGATGGCATTCAGAGGTGGGATCTTTGTGGCGATGAAGTGAGCTATGATTTGCAAAGTATGTTCAGGCCCTAAGACTGGTGGTGCTTCCACTTTCTTTATGTGTGTCTTATGAGAGAAACAGATTTAATGCAAGTTATACAAGTATTCAAGAATTTACAAGATTGGCTTATAGTGGCTGCCCACAGAGTCAGATGTGGAAAGGTGCAAAAGGGCTTCCTGTGTGCTGTAGCTCACTGTGGTGCTGTGAGCAATCCGCATCAGGAGGCCAAAGGGTCTCCGATGGACGTTTGAAGGATCTGCCAGCAGCCAGGCGATGACATCCAAGGTGAAGGCGAAGACTGAAGCTCCGCAGAAGAAACACAATTGAGCCTTTCTTCTTCTGGTCCCTTTGTTACTATTCAGATGACAAGCCTACCCACTGTGTGTCTTCTGTTTCATAAATCCTTTCAGCAACACCAGCAGCTATGCTGATACACTTAATTGGGCTTTTCTGTCTCAGGTTGACACAATCAGTTAGTTCATTGTCCCACTGGGTGTGGGCATGGCAGGGCAGCCCCAAGCAGATGAGGACGCGGCAGAGTGGCAGTAGACAGGTGCCTGTGCCTGGACCTGTGACTTGAGAGCTTCCAGAACTGAGAATAACATCCCACTCTCTGCTCTCAAGCCTTCTGCTATAGCAGCACGTAGCAGACCAAAATGAAACCTGGGATTTACTTAGACTAGCCCATAGCTACAGTAGTGTCCACCGCAAAGATAAAACAAGATAGTACACATTTGCCGTTGCATAGTCCTTGGATTACTGGTATGACTTTGTCAAGGGAGGCTAGTGGTAGACTGGTGAGATGTCTCACTCTCTGTTTGTGTTTTCAAAGGGTGCGGAGTTGAGTGGGTGACCTAATGCACACTGGAGTGTGACTAGTTGTGATTGGCCACAGGCCCAGGATGTTGGGAAAGACCAACTTTTCTTTGGAAATGAGGGTGCTCAGTGCTCATGCAGAGCTCCCAAGAGCTGTGATACTTCAGGTCCTTGGGTGGCCTGGCCACACCGGCCCATCTCTCCTGCTATTTGTGGGAGAAGTGGCAGGGTATGGCTGTTGGTCACAGTCTGTTATGTGTCCTCCTGTGGACTTTTTGATGCTATTGTGAATGGCATTATTTTCCTAATTTTTTTCTCAGTGAGTTTATTATTAGCATATAGGAATGCTATTGATTTTTTTTGTGTTGATTTTGTAACCTGATATCTTGTTAAGTTTCATTATCAATTATAGGAGTCTTTTGGTGGAGTTTTTTGGGTCTCGTAAGTAGATCATGTCATGTACAAATAATGATACTTTGCCTTTGTTCTTTTCTAGATGCATTTCTTTTATTTTTTAAAAAATTATTTGTTTATTGATACAATTTAGGTATATACAGTGATCACATTCATCATAGGAAATTTGTACCTGGACAAGATACACCTTGATTTGTCGTTGTTTTCCTCCCTTTCCCATCCCTTCACTTGTTCCCTATTTCCCCACTTCCCTCCTTATTCACAAAGCGTTCTTTCCATTTCATTTCTTTATCTTGCCTGACTACTCTGACTAATGTTTTGAGGACTCTGTTGAACAGGAGTTGTAATAGTGAATATCCTTGGCTTGTTCCTGGTTTAGACAGAAGGCTTTTGGTTTTCCTGCTTTGAATATGATGTTGGCAGTAGGTTTGCCTTTTAAAAGATCAGATCCTTCTATACCTATTTTTTCAGGGTTACTTTTATGAATAGATATTGAAGTTTGTCAGAGTATTTTTCTGTGTCTAGTGAGGTATCCATGTGATTTTTGACCTTGTTTCTGTTTATGTTTTGGATTTATTGATTTTCCTATATTAGCCATCTTGGCATCTTTGGGATGAATCCTACTTGGTCATAGTGTTTTAATGATTTGTTTCATCCTGCTTGCCAATATCCTGTTGAGTATTTTTGCATCTATGTTCATTAGTGAGATTAGACTGTAATTCTCTTTTTTGGTTGGATCCTTTTCTGGTTTCAGAATTGGGATAAACCTACTTTCCAAGAATCAATTTGGGAGTGTTCCTTTCCTTTCAATTTCATTTAAAGTTTTGAAGTGTATTGGCATTAGATCTCCAGTCAAGATCATGTAGAATTTGGCAGTGCATCAAATCCTGAACTTAGTTAGTTGGTAGTTTTTAAAAATAATTTCAGTTTCATTGCCTGTTATTTCATTGCCTGTTATACCAGATTTTGTATTCATATGTATTTAGAGATATGTAAATTCTAAATACATATGTAACTCATATGTATTTAGAGATCTCTCCATTTCTTCTGGTTTCTGCAATTTATTGGTACACAGGTTTGGGTAGCTATTGCAAGGAATCTTCTGGACTTTGGATTTGTGATTTCTTCTCTTTTATTACTTACTGCATTGATTTATGTCTTTTCTTTCCCTTTTTTTGTAAGATTGACTTAAGTTTTGTCTATTTTATCATTTGAAAGAACCAGCTCTTTGATCCATTGATTCTTTGTATTTTTTTGTCTCCACTTCATTGATTTCTGCTCTAATCTCTATGTTTTTCTTCTTTTTACTAGCCCTGGATACATATTCCAGAGGGTTTTTTTTTGTCTTCTAGGACCTGTGAAGCATCCTTAGGTTACTTACTTGGGCTTACTCTTTTTTTCTGATGCGCGCATTCACAGCTGTAAACTTCACCTTGTGGCTGCTTCCGTTGTGGCCCTAACTTCTGGTGTGTTGTACTGGCATTGTCACTTAATTCTAGGGGCTATCTCATTTCTTCCTTGATTTCTTCTGTGACACTGTGATTGTTCAGGAGTGTGTATTATTTAATTTCCATGCACTTGCATAATTTCTGTGGTTCCTTTGACATTATTTTCTAATTTTATTGAACTTTCATCTGATATTAAACATGGTAAAATTTTTATTCTTTTAAATCTATTTAAACATGTTTTATTGGGTAGTATGTGGTGTATTTTGTAGAAAATTTCATCTGCTGCTAACAGAATGTGTATTCTGTTATTGAGTGGAGCATTATATATGTTAAGTCCATTTGTTCAAAGGTTTAGTTCAACTCTGGTATTTCTTTGTTAATTTTTGTTTAGTTATCTATTTGTGCAAAAGAATATTGATATCACCACTCTAACGGTCCCGCTATTTATCTGACCATTTACGTCCAATATTGTTCATTTTATGAAGTTAGCTGTATCATAGTTGATACATACAGGTGTTTAATTGTTATCTCTTCTGTTGGATAGTTCCTATAACTAATGTATAGGGTCGTTTTTGCCTCTTCTGATCATTTTTAAAGTTCAGTTTGTTGGAAAATAGGATAGCTACTCCTGCTTTTAATAGAGGGGGGTTCCCGTTGTATTGAATATTTTTTTCTGTCCTTTTTTTTTAGTCTGTGAGTTTCTTTTTTTTTTTTTTTATTTAAAGAAAAGGAAACGAAAAAAGAAAAAAATACATGGAGATAAAAAAAAAAGGGTAGAAATAATACTAAATTACAGACAAACAAAAGGTAAGAAATTGCCGGTTGATAAGTTACAAATTGTCATCTTCGAAATGGCTGTTCAGGTTATAGAATTAAAGTATTTAGAATGACATTCAAAAAAGTGACCCTACAAACCATTTTGCTCTATGGTCGAACAAAAGCTCCGTAATATGATTATCAGTCCCACCTATTTGTTTTACATCTCTAAGAGGGTAAGGTTAACCATATCAAAACAGAACAGAACATTTAAAAAAAATAAAAAATAAAAAACAATTTGCAAGTCCACTGGAGATCTACCTTATCTAACTGTCTCTAGCTTCTTACAAATAGTTGTCCCTAACTTCACCCACTTTATATACTTATTGCATATTATAGAACTAATCAAATCATTACAGGATGATGGAGTCTTTTTAGGTCCTCAAGTTCCAAATTAGGGAAGACAATAGCAACTACCATCGCATCTCTCATTCTCTTTGAGATAGCCGTCCCCATCTCTGCATATGCTGAAGTTGAGCTGAAGAAACCAGTCCAATGTCATTCTAATCAGCAAGCAATAGATTGCTAGAATTTATATTATAATGCTACAAAATAAGCCTCAGGTTTTTCAGGTCTCTTCCTCAGAGTATTTGTTCCTATCCTCTCTGTATTATAGGGAAAACCAAGTCATAACAAGACAGCGAA